ACATTGCAACTGAGAAAACCAAAGCCTTGACTGTATGCACTTTTGTTGGCAAGGTGATGTCTCTGCTTTTTAGTATGCTGTCTAGATTTGCCATAGCTTTCCTCCCCAGGAGCAAGCGTCTTTTAATTTCTTGGCTGCCGTCCCTATCTGCGGTGATCTTGGAGCCCAGGAAAATAAAAGCTGTCACTACCTCCATTTATTTGCCAGGAATTGAGAGGGATGAATGCCCTCTCAATTCTATGATACATGCAGAAATTAAGCAGGGTAGTCCTGGTAAGTAATGGATGGGACTCATCCAAGAAGCTCTAAACTAGTATTTCTCAAACGCAGCAACTTTAAGTTTGTGGATTCAGAATAAGAATAACAGAATGATAGAATTGGAAGGGACCTTGGATCTTCTAGTCGAATTCCTGGCTCAAAAGCAGAAGACCCTATACCAGTGATGGTGAACCTTTTTTGGCTTGCGTGCCATAAGTGAAGGGAGCGCAGGGGGGTCATGTTCGGGTGTGCCACACTCATAATGCAGTGCGTGGACACCCCCCCCCCAGTGCGTATGCGTGTACAAGCACAACCCTCCATTTTTTGCATGCTTTTTTTGCCCTCCCCAGGCTCCAGAGGCTTTATAGGAGCCTGGGGAGGATGACAGCAGCCTCCCCCCACCCCCCCGAGGCCCTCCAAAGGCTTCAGGGACCTTCAGGAGGCTTCCCTGAAGCCTCCGGAGCAGTCAAAACGACACTCCGATCAAACTAGAAGTCACTTCCGGTTTGCTCGGAGGGTTGTTTCGAGTGCTCCGGAGGCTTCAGGGACCTACAGGAGGCTTCCCTGAAGCCTTCGGAGCACTCAAAATGGCCCTCCGAGCAAACTGGAAGTCTATTCCTGAACTTCCGGTTTGCCCATAGGGCCTGTTTTTTTTTGGCTTCAGGAAAGCTCATGACGCCTCCAAAGGGCCTCCGGGGAGGGGAGGCTCTTTTCGCCCTCCCCAGGCTCCTATAAAGCCTCTGGACCCTGGGGAGGGCAAAAAATGGCTTTTAAAAAGGGTGAACTCAGCTGGCCAATGCGCGCATGCCCTGACAAATTGCACACATGCCATAGGTTCGCCATCCCAGCCCTATACCATTCTCCAGCTAGCATGCTGAGTATTGAAATCCGTGCAGTTTAAAATTGCTGAGATTGAGAAATATTTACTGTAAACTATGCAAATAATTAGGGTGGTTGGGCAGAACCCTGAAGAAGGCAATGATAAACCACTTTTGTATGTGGGCATGTCCATGAATTCACCAGGTTCACCATATTCACTTCCGTGACCCCTCAAAACCGCGGTCCACAAAAGCGCGCTCGACGAAAGNTTGACCGCAAAGAAAGGAGGTGAGCCAACACAATATCATGCCACCACCCTCAGTCCTCTGAAGCAATTCCTAAGAATACTATGGTCAGTGGTATACCAAAACCACCAAGAGATCAATTAACACAAAAATGGATTTGAATATAGATTTTAAAAAGCTAGATGATAAGAATGATTTGGAAAAGATTAAACTAGATATGTTGCTATTTCTAGTAACTCTTAATGGACTTATGCTGACCAGATGAGGCTTTAAGAATTTGTTTATAGATGAGATATGGGATATGGAAAGAAGAAATAATTTGTTGTATTTTAACAGAAATGGATAAGTTACTAAAATTGTTTATACTTGTGATGAAGGCAGAAGTCATTTCTTAACATACTGAACATATTTTTTCTTTACTATATTTTTCCTTTTTTATTTTTCTTTCAATTCTATTCTTTTTTTTACTCCTTAATTTTTTATTTTGCATTACGTTGACCTTTTTAATTGTAATATTTAATGTTGTTAAAATTGTTACACACTTAATTGGCTTGATCCTTAGGCTCATGAAA